CTTTAAACTGTGGGTTTTCTCTGGAAGTGTTTCCTTGTACGATGTGAGGGTCTAAGGACAGAGGGTGTCGTATTGTCATACTGATATTCTGTACACACTGTGAAGTCCACTGAGACAAATGTAACATCTGTGATATTGGGCTATATAAATAAACATTGATTGATTGATTGATTGATTGAGTGATTGACTGAGTGATTGATTGATTGATTGATTGATTGATTGATTGATTGATTGATTGATTGATAGGCATACATTCACTGGGGGCCCCTCGAACCCTTCGAACCAGCTTCTCATCACCACGCACAGCCGACACCCTTCTGCTCCGGGGCTCCAAGCAGTTGCCTGCCTTGCCTGTTCGCAAGGTGTGCCCCTGCGTCCACTCACATATGTAATCACATCAAGACCTGGACATATGAGGCAGTAGATTATATGTAAAATATAACAGGAAGGGAAAAAATAAGATGCAAGAGGTTTTAAAACTCAAAATCCAGGTTAATATGATAAATGCGTGGCCTTTAGAGCTGGTTCGATTCATGGAGATGCACAGTAAACACTTTCTTAAATGCCTAATTGTTACATTAGTATGAAATCAAGGTATTCCCTGACACCTGATGGAATTAAAGAGGACACATTCTGCTATTTTTCCGGTGTCTCTACTTCCTGTCGTTTCTGGGAATGGTGGTGTTCACCTTCACTCTGAACCTCAACAGCATCCTCCTCGTCTTCTTCAATCCTGGAGGTCAATAGCACAGGGATTTTAGCCTTTGCAGACCATTTACATGCACTAAAGCCTATAGAACACACTACAGCACATGTGTCAAACCCAAGGCCCGGGGGCCAAATCAGGGCCTTGGTGGATTTAATTTCGGCCCGCAGGATAATTTCTAATCACTATTAGATCTGGCCCTCCGGTATATTGCACGGGCGGTGCCACAGATTCTAAATAGGAATTAGAATTATCCTGCGGGCCCGAAATTAAATCCACTAAAGGCCCTGATTTGGCCGGGCCTTGGGTTTGTACACATGTGCTGTAGTGTGTTCTATAGGCCTTTAGGTGCATTGTATAATGGTCTCATAAGCGCTAAATCCTGTGCTATTGACCTCCAGGATTGATAGAAGACGAAGGAGGATGCTGTGAGGTTCAGAGTGAAGGTGAACACCACCATGCCCAGAAAACGACAGGGAAGTAGAGACACCGGAAAAGAGCAGAATGTGTCTCTTTACTCCATATCAGGTTGTTTTTTCAGGAATACCTTATTTCATACTAATGTAACAATTAGGCTTTAAAGAAAAGTGTTTACTGTGCATCTCCATGAATCGAAACCAGCTCTATAGGCCACGCATTTTTATCATATTAACCTTGATTTGAGTTTTAAAACCTCTTGCATCTTATTTTTCCCTTCCTGTTATATTTTACATATAAATTTACTGGCTTTCATATGTCCAGTCTTCATATGATTACACACTTGCGAACAGGAAGGCAAGCAACTGCTGGAGCCCCCGGAGCAGAAGGTGTCGGCTTTGCGTGGTGATGAGAAGCTGGTTCGAGGGTTGAAGGGGCCTCCAGTGAATGTATGCCTATCAATCCAATCAAATTCATCAATCAATCAATCAATCAATTCACTCAGTCAATCAATCAATCATTTCAACAATCACTCAGCAATCAATCAATCAATCAATCAACTAATGTTATTTATATAGCCCAATATCACCAAATGTTACATTTGTCTCAGTGGACGTTCACAGTTTGTAGGAGAATAACAGATGACAATACGACACCCTCCTGTCCTTAGTACCCTCTGTCCTTAGACCCTCACATCGTACAAGGAAACACTTCCAGAGAAACCCCACAGTTAAGGGGAACATGGGGAGAAACCTCAGGGAGGAGCACAGGAGAGACTCCCTAGGGACACGGGGGTTCAGGGGGAGTGGCTTTACCCGTTAGGATAGAAAAGAGGGGTGTGACGTCTGACTCAGAGGTCGCGCGGCTTTGAAAGAACGTGTTGTCCACATTCTGTTACTGAGTTTTAGGCTAGTTAGCTAGCAGGTCATTGTTGTGGGTGCAGTCACTTTTACTCACTGCTGTTCAAATAAAGTTGAGAGGATCTGTTTACAGTTCTGTTTCATACGGGTGTTGAGAGCATGTTTATCCATAGATTTAGTCCCTTAATTTGCTCTCAGTGCACCAGATTGATGCTTTAACTCAAACATTTACAAAAACATCTTCCTCGGGGGGGAGCATTGCCCCCGGACCCCCCTCTTTACAGGAGTGAGGTCCACCACCTGACACCCCCCCCTGTTAAATTGGTCTACCCACATTGAGAGATGCTTTCCTACGCCCCATGTTTAGGTTCCATGCGTCAAGTCAGGCAAATTTGGGTCAAAATGTTTTGGCATCAATTATTGTAACATTCAAATCACTAATAATATGCTGTAACTATTTGCTCTAGGCAACTCAGGGCCTCAGGTATGTGATTACTATATGAATAATTGGTCCAAAATAATATTAAAGCAAAGTGTTTTTTGTTATATTATAACATACTTGCGTCGCCGTTGTTCCGGCCCGATACATGCCGCGCATTAAGTGGGCCGTCTGTCAATAATCCCCGGCCATTTCCTCCCCCAGTCCGCCCCTGGGGTACAGACGGAAGACCGACAGAAGACAGAGGTCCCAGCAGTGGGCGT